TATGTGAAGACCTGGAATGAAGAATCTCTGCAAGAAAGATGGAAGGGACCGTGCCAGGTGCGGCTAACCACTTTTACTGCAATCAAGATTGCCAAATCAGATGCGTGGATCCACTACACTCGAGTGAAGACGCCGCCGCCTGTCAACTGGAAAGTGGTTGGAGAGCCAGAGACTTTGAAATTAACTTTAAAGCATGATTAACCTTGTTTTCTTGCTTATTTGGCAGTCTATGGTGGGGGAAACATGGATCAAAATTGTGTGGCTACATCAGACCACACGGGTGACACAAGTTTGAGCCTAAGATCAGACCAATCAGGCTTCTGATCAGGTAATTTCTGTATCAGGGATAACCCAGGAGGAAAATTTGATGATTGGATTGATCAAAGAATTTGCAAATTTACAGAACATGTCACAAATCACTGCCAATACCACAGGCAGTTGGATAACCTGTTCCATGGAGTATTTCAACAATGAATTTGGCTAAGCCATGCTTACAAAAACCCATCACTAAATGGGAAGAACAAGTGAGTGTGATTAAAATGGAATGGAAATCTCCAGGAAATAGAGTAGATTGTTATAAGCTGTTTAATCCTCAATTTGTCACTATAGATAAGTTTGGAGATGTTGGATGGTGTAAATATGATAAGCCCATAAAACCGAACGTGTCTTGAGTGATCATAGCATGCAATGAAGATGGAACAAGTCCTAAAGAAGTCAAAGGATGGGATTCCATTTGGACTTTGGGCATCCATCTCCAATTTAAATACATGGCAAAAACCCTGTGGTGCTTTCAATGGGATGGGTTGGAATTGATATCAAACGAGACAATTGCAGCCAAAAATACAAGCAAAAGAGGTCCCTTGGTGGGAATGTGAACAACGCTTGGTGGGAATGTGGACAGGTTTATAATTGCAGTACAGTAGATCAAGTGTTCCAAAAGAATACCCCATTGGCATCTGCTTTAGAATCTGGATGCATTTGCCGAGGATTTAAAACGAATCTACATATGGAAGGAAAGACTACAATTAATTGCAAGAAAGATATGATCCCAAGCCCGGGACACTTAGTTTGGGCATTAAGTGATGGGACCTGGACCTCCCATTTACCCATAGATGGAAAGGTAAATCAAATTACTCTGGGATTGCCCACACTGTGTCCAATATGGAAGAAATCTCCCTTTAAGGGCAATAGTGAAAATTTGCACTTGACACGAGTAAAGAAAGCAGAATTGAACAACAATGATGTTTGGAATGAGCCAAGTACGGCAGTAAAGATTGGATGGGCATTAGAATCCCTCTTAAATCCTATAGCATCCTATAGGAACAGAAAATGGTTGTATCAATTAACTGGACAAGTTCAACGATTGGCTAATGCTACACGAAAAGGACTTATAGACATAAATAAACAGCTACAGGCCACTACTAGAATGACTTTACAGAACCGAATGGCGTTACATATGCTGTTGCTGAGGGAACATGGAGTGTGTGGATTTTTAAAAGATAGAATAGATCACTGTTGTATACATATCCCAAATGTTACTGCAGATGTAGAACATGGTTTGGATCAGCTAGAAAAAGTTGAAGAAGAAACACAAGAAATTGAAAAGGACATGACAGAAAGCTGGATAGATAAAATGTTTAAAGGATTGGACCTGAACTTGAAGTCCTGGTTAAGATTGCTAATTGGAACACTGCTGCTATTGATTATAGTGTTTCTGGCGATATATCTGGTGTATCTTTTTATTAAAAGAGAACTTGATAAAAGAACAACATGGAATCGAAAAATTCTAACTGCTTTGTCAAGTCAGCATGAATTGCCTAAAAATTATCCACCATCATATGACAATTATGGCTTTGTAGCATATGAACTATCAGAAATATGATGAATCATTAGTATGAGAGTATTGGAATTTATTATCAATACTCTCAAAGGGGGAAAATGTTATAGTTACAAGAAAATTCTGGCCGCTTGGGGAATTCCGACCGATTGGGGTGGATGATTGTTGATTGTGAACACTCTGACGAATCAAGGTAATTTAATTGGGCAAGGTAATCAAGGGGGGACTGATAATTATGTAAGTTAGAATAGGTTATGTAAGTTAGAATAGGTATTTGTTCAAACTGCAGAATTAAGAACAAAAATTGCAAGATATATTTGTATAAGCATTTAGAAAAAGCACAAACCATGTCCGAGGGGAGCATTAAATAATAGAATGAAAAGGAGGGGTAATAACTGTATTGAGACCACCATGAGAATGGACCTCCGTGAGAGTGGACATGGACCGAAGTTTTCTCATGGGAATGGATTGTTGGACTGAAACCTCTCTTAGGGGAGTGGACCCAAAGCTTTTCTTTGACAAAATTGTAGGGGTAAATTCTATGCGGAACCAATTAAGGTGATGGGTAAAGGAATATGTAATCCTCTTATGTAATCATCTTATGCATATGCATGATCATATGATTTTGCTTTGTTAAAATTGTATAAAAGGACTATGAAAATGTATGGACGATGGAACACAGTTTGGGGGTCTTCCTCTGTGTTCCCCAGCACTGCAAATAAAGAAGTGCCTGCTTATCTGCAACTGTGTAGATAAGTTTTTTCTTGTCATGTTTGCGGCCACATCAACAATAGTGCTCACTTTTTTCCAAGAACATAATAGCTAATTAATTAAATCACTTAGCAAAGGCAGGAAATGCTAGAGTAAACCCTTCCTAGGCCTGCAAGGGTTTGTGTCAAAAAGAGAGTCTTGATTATCAGCCCATTGGAGATAATGTGGGAAATGGAAAGGAAGGAGAGAAAAATAGTTGTCTTCCCTTCTTGCTAAATCTGGACTTCTGTGCAGCAAGATTTTTGTTGGTTGAGGTAGAAATTATTTACACGAGTTGTATGTTCCCAGGAGAAACAGACCGTAAGAAAAGGAGACCTTGACCACAACACACGGATGAGGATATTTCCTCTGTAGACAAAATGATTATTTAATTCTAGTTATTTCTGCAGAAACTACTCTCTTATTTTGAATTTGTGAACAAGAGGTCCCACTAGATCACTCATAACTAGCTAAGACATCTGCAGGGAGACCGTAAAGTAATTAAAACAAGTCAAGAGTAAGAATTTTGTATGGGCACAAAAGCAGAGTCTGGAAAACATGTTGCACTGTTGATCTGGTATGCAGACTGCACATGAGAAAAAGCTTGTGATTAATTAAAACCAGGTAAAGGAATCAAGGCTAAAGTAGAACACTGTGTATTTAAAGTAGAGAATGTGTTGCAAGTATCAGCTTGATAAATGCTGGGGATAATTGGGGTGCACAGTGTCAGCAATACCATATAAGGCCAAGTTTGTCTTAGTAACATCACTGGATACTCCAGATTTGGGTAATTGTGCAGCAGAATTGAGACCAAAGTGGAAGAAGCAATGAGGTGAAAAGCAAATGGATCCAAAAGTAGAAAAAAAAAGAAGAAGCAGGTGTAAAGTCAGATAAAGAGCAAAGGAGGGCATGACCTTCCAGTGGAAGGGTTGAGGGTGTCTATGGCCACTAATTAAACTGACTTGTAAACACAAGCCCAATGAGATGCTGAGGAAGATGCTTTGATACCGTACTAGACACTTCATCAGATTTAAACCTAGAAGAATTAGCCTCAGAAGGTGCAGTAAGAAGGAATCCGCTTTTATCCTGGTACTGAGTGGTTTTGGGAGTGAAGGGTTGTAGAATTGTAGTTTTTCAGTAGCTTCTGTTCCATTTAATCATCCAGTTTCTTGTTTATTTTTACATTTTGAACTTTTAAATATTTTCAGTGTGGCAGTCAAGTTGTCTAGAGGCATATTTATTACTTCAATAAATAATGTAATAGTTTGGTGGTTAGGGTGTAGTCTTGTAATGTGGAGGAAAACAGTTCAAATACCTTCAGATTGGAGGGACACCTAACAGAATGAAATCTAAGAACATAATCAACATATTAAGTATAATTTCCTTCTGAAAAATGAAAAGTGCTGGTCTTTTCTTTCTTATTTTACAAACTCCAGATATAGAATTCTGAGTAGATCCTCTTTCCCAGGTGTGTTGAGTATTCCTTCACTGACACAAAATTTTTATTTGTTCACAGAGTGCACTTTGTGCCAAAGCTGTCTATATCAGATTCAACAGCTCTGTGATAACCAAGGTTGGAGTCACTTTGGACTTAACACCACTTGTTACATTGTTTGACTTTAAAACTTTTAGGGCCTCTCACTTTCCATAGTAAATCTGGGCATGAAAACAAAGGCCAAAATCAAGTTATTATATATAAATCTTTTTTTCTCAGCACTAACTTCATTTCTAAGCAGTGGAGTACTGGGAAAATTGGGGTGACTCATTCCATTTAAATGCCAAAGTTAAACAGGCAGGAAGCCAACTTAAATACTGTATCACTTTAGTCAAACTCAAGAATTGACACCTGAGAAGCCTGCCTTTGCAGTCTTTATTGAAGAGGAGTCAGAAATCAACTGCTATTATTTATGAAATATCTTAACTTCAAAACATTTATTCACCTTCAAGAATATCTTTACCATAGAGATAAAGCCTAGATGTGAAATCTCAATCTAACTGTAGCAAAGAGCAATTTTTTTTCCTAGATACCTCCCAAGATAAGGTGCAAGCCAAGTCCAGCTGCTGCCCAGGCAGCAGATAAGAGAAAACTTCATTGTGTTATCTATGCCACACATTGTGTTATACTGAGTGTGCGTTAAAGGGTGTGAAACATCATCTTTAGCGTTCTCGCCAGTACTCCTCAGTCCCATTTTCTAATTGTGTGAAAATATTTCAGGTTCCATTTTCTATAAAATAATTTGCCAGTTATTGCTTTGATTCGTTTCTACTTTCACACAATTCCATCATGATCTCTGTGATTTACAGCACGATTTTCCAGGTGCTACAGGAATGATAATCGCTTGTTTCTCTAGGGATGATAAGATGTCATTATTCACTATTTTACCTCAAACGGTGATAAATTTATCCCACCCCATTCATTTTCCCTCATGCTGTTTTTTGTAGGTGAAGTGAATATGTGTGTGTGTGTGTATATGTATAATATATGTCAGTATGTGAATTAAAGATTTATGTGTTTGGGTTGTTTGGAAGATTATCAAATCAGGCCAGTTTCAACATTTAAAAAAAAAAAAAGAAAGAAAAAGAAACAAAACTTTGCTAGACTAATATTATTTAA